TTATCATTGAATTAGTGTCTATTGAGGCTTGCCATAGGCAGGAACAGTGATCATCATTTATTGAATCTTTCTCTGTGCCCCAGTGCTGATAGTTTACAGTTGTACCTTATCCAATTCTCTACCTGCTCCCCAAATGCACACACTCACACCCATGAGCACACACTTGCACTCACATACATTCTCACACCACACCCCCTCCCCCCACACTCCCCATGGTGAGGTGGGCATTGCTGCCCTCACTTTATGGGGTACAGGGACAACTAAAACACCAAGCATTTCATGACTTCCTGTCATCACACAACTCCTGGCATGTGCGCCCCAGGGTATTGACTCCAGGTACCCGTGCTCCTCTCTGCACTTACTCTCTGCCATTTCCCTGTTTTGTTTTCTCAGAGCTCTTACTCTCCACAATGTCATTGTTTATTCATCTGTTTACTTGGTTTTTGTCTGCCCACCTCCATAGAATGTAATTGTGATGAGGATGATGACAGACAACATTGACTGAAATATACTACATGCCAGGCACTGAGTTAAGCACCTCATGTACATGCACTCATTTAATCCTTACTATTACCCTACCTAATAGTACCAATCTTATTATCATCCCCATTTTACAGGTGAGAATGCATTCACTGGGCTAAGGCCTGGAATACAGGAATGAGTATGGCTTGGATGCCCATCTGATCCAATGGGGCAATGGCTTCTTCCCTCAGGGTAGCAACACCTTGGGGAGAACAGGCTCCTGCCACACCCCGGCCAGTCATATCTCCCTCCTCCCACTCTTGGCCCACACTAGAATGGGATTTTCAGGGGGCTCTGTTGAGTAAAGCAGGTCGGTGAAGCCCTCTCAGGCCTTTGGGCTAACTGTCCCCATTCAGTGTCCCTCTGGCCTCTTTCCTCTGTGGTATCTGGCAAGGGCCCCAGGCTCCTGGCCTGATGGTTCACGCACAGAGTTATCCACAGACACCAAGTGCCGGGTCCCCTGCCTGCCCCATTCTGCTGGGTGATTGATGGGGCCACTCTTGCTCTCGGTCCCAGAGAGCTCCTTTGAATAATAACTTGGCAAAATTACCTCTCTTTTTACTTTCCCTATCTCTGATTCATTTGCTTTCTAAGTCATTCATCTCTTTTGAGTTAGAAGAAGAAAGAGGGAGAAGAATGAGGAAGAGAAGGAGGAGGTAGCACAAAGGAACCAGGGACCACGAGCCCCACCTCCTCATTTTACCAAGGGTGAGCTGGGAGCAGCTCTGTCTCCAGCCTGTCCCATCTAAGTGTGATTTTAAGGTGGAGTGCACCTCTGCCAATGGATTTGTAGGGTTTGCAAATTCAACCCGATCCCTGGCTATGGAACAAAAGCATGTGTGGGAGATCTAGAGCTGTGGGGAGGCGGGATCTTTCTAGGGCCCCTGAAGGTGCACCTTGAAAGGCAGCCGCCTGCTCTACCCACCTGTACCACTGGTCCTGTCTGCCTGTGGGGATGGTGGGATATTCTTACTCTTGAAGGGGAGCAGCAGAGAAAGGAATGAGATGGAGGCTCAACGGAGTCACAGCGGCTCCCCAACACTTATTCTGATCACCAGGCACTGGGGAGACAAAGCCCACAAGGAGTTCATAGACAAGTAGGCAAATACAGTACCGTGCAATACATGTGTAGGTACAAGTAGGTACATACAGTACAATCCTACGGAGCAGGCTGTTTATTCTGCAATGGGAGGGACCAGCAAGGAAGCCTTTACAGGTGGGCTGATGATAAAGTGTTCTGAAATCTCAATCTGGAAATGGGGACGGGTGCTCCAAGTGTCAGGCAATGCAGAAGTAAAGGTTTGGAGGTGCGAAGCTGCACAGTGTCCTGGAGGAGCACGAAATGATGTTATTTAAAGTACAAAGAGCAAGGTGGACATTGCCAAGACCTAGAGGTAGGCAACGGCCAGGTAATACTGGCTGTAATGGTAGTAGATCTTCATCCAGGGCTTATGTGGGGGAGGGCTTGTGTACCAGACTCAGGAGTTTGACGGCTATGACAGGAGAGTCCTCCAAAAAGAAGGTGTGCAGTCAGACCCACAGCAGTGTGTGGAGGAGGGATCAGAGCCAGGCTGGAGAAAGGAAGACCAGTTAGCTGGCTGGTCTTCCGAGTTTCCTTTCCTTCTAACTGGTCTTCCTTTCTCCAGTCTGTCTCTGCTGCACCAGTCCAGGGAACAGGCAATTTAAGGACTGAACCAAGGCAGGGCCAATGGGGAAGGAAATGTGCTTGAGAAGCATTTAGAAGGCCATGTTGACAGGCTTGGTGATTGGCTGAAGGAAGAAGATGGGGGAGATAGAGGAGTCAAGGGTACCTCATGGGGTCGGCAGCTGAAACAGATCATAGCAGTGGAAACATTCAGGAAACATGCCAAGCACCTACTAGGTGGTGTCACTATTCTAGTCACTGGGGACACAAAGACAAATCATTCACTGTTCTTGAACATCCTTTAGGGTTATTTAAAGACAAGCTTAATCTGTATATATAAACTCATGTCCAGCCACATTTGGGTAAATCTCAGAATTTTTTTCCTTTACCAAAAAATGCATCCTTTTCTTCCCTGCCACACAAAAACTCACTACCTGTCTTTGTTTCTTGTTTTCTCCAGCAGGCTACATTCACACGGCTAGGGTAGTTAAAGAGGGCCCATTTGTCCCTGAGTAGTATTAGGGCAGCCCTTTGGGGCCACAGCTGGGTGGCGAAGGTTGGAGGCTGGAAGCTTCCTTGAGAGTCAAGTTTCTTTCCAGCCATCTCTGCATTCAGCTTGAGTATTTTCCCCCCTGGGATGAATTTCCTCATAAAATAAATGTCTTGTCTGAATTAATCTTATTTTTAAAAGGAGAGAGTCATCATATTGTAAAGACAGATCATAAAAAGATGCATCAATCTGTCAGGAAGGCTGCTTAATATGAGTATTTGTTTAGCACAGACAGTGTGCCCTGAGGCATCTGAACTCCCAGGCTGGGCTGGTGCTGGGCTTAGGCCCTGTACACACAATTTCACGTGTATGCCCACGGCCTCCACAGTCCTTCTGGACTAGTGTTGGGCCTGGATAGGGCCTTTTATTTTAATACTTAGGCCATTCAGGGCCAGCAGCATATTGATAATGGGCACGATAGCAGCCTCCCTTTTTGAAGAGCCCAGGGAGTGACCCCTGACGTGGAGGGCCAGTCCCTTGGCTTAGGCCTGAAATACTTTCACTTGAAAACAAATCAATATTCAGGATCTTAGACAACACTGCAGATAATCTGTGCATTTTGTTTTACTCTTAAAAAATAGATACAAGCCATACAAAAGTACATAAATTAAAAAGTAAAATATCACATGAGTAATACAGGAAGTGAAACCTTACTCAGGTAGCACACAAATACAGGAAACAGATAACGGGAAAACATTCAAGTCCTTCTTTGCCTCCTCCACAGTTAACCACTGCGAACTGCTTGGCATTTGGGCATCATCGGCCATCAACAAGAAAACGCAGCAGGATGGCTGGCTGACTTTTCTCCTTTCACCAGATGTTAACAATGCTGTAGACACATCTGGGCCCAGACAGATAAGGACTGTCTGGGCCCAAGACAGATTAGGGCTGGCTTCTAACTGTCTTTCCGTGTATTTTTATCTATTTATCCCCACATGACATACATATATCATTTATTTTCTGGGCTATAAATAGGATCATATCAAACACTTGGTACTTGTTTTATTTTCTTTTACATGACATTCTATTTTGGGTTTCTTTTTAAAATAAAACCATAACAGTAATAAAAACTTAAACTTTACAGAAGGGCAAAAAGGAAAACAAAAACACAAAATCCTTTCCTTCATTGTATCCCTCCATTCCCACTCCCCAGATCACAGATAAATGTATTTTCATGTATCCTTCTAGAAATGACCATTGTAAATGCATACACAAGTGCCTAAACACATACATACTTGATCTGTTCACTTTATAATAAGAAAGTGAGAACTCAGAGAGGTCAAATGATACACCCAAGGTCACACAGCAGCCTGGGGCAGAGGCAAGTGTAGAACTCAGTGCTCTGCCTCCCAGAGGGCAAAGGTTTGTCCACTGCATCTCCAACAAGTTGGCCCAGAGCCAGTCTCGGCTAATGTTCCTCATCCCTCCCTACCTTCCACCTTGTCTGCCAGTCTGGTGACTCTCCATGTTGCCCACGCCCCCTCCCCTCCCACGAATGCCCCTGGCTCAGTGTATTAATAGCCTGCACTTGTGCGGCTCATCCGGGAGCGGCCTGCCTGATTGGTCATTTCAGGAATGCCTGCTGTCTCCCTCAGCGCTGTCCTCACAGAACAATGCAGCGGCGCCTGGCAAAGTGGTTCAGTGGCCTTGTGTTTGTGCTTTTGTTCCCCAAATTACAAGTGACAATTAGGTGCAAAAGACCCTTTGTAAGGATAATTCCATTTAAGTAACCCCTTGTCCTGGGAGGAACCGACATCCCGTCTACACTGTGTGCTAGGCTTCGGGTCCACACGTCTGGCCTTGGGGAGTTTGCCGCTTGATGGGTGAGGATGGGCACACGTGCCGATAACTGGCCTTTGCTCCTTCTCTCTTGTCTTTGTGTGTGTCAGCCTTATCTGTCGTGGGCCCAGATGTGTCTGCAGCATTGCCAACATCTGGTGAAAGGAGAAAAGTCAGCCAGCCATCCGGATGCGTTTTCCTGTTGACGGCTGATGATGCACATGGGCACATCTGGGAAACATCCAGATGGCCAGACCATGCGTGCTATCCACTCACATGTGTGGTCCTGCTGCCTTCATTGACATGTCCACTGGGGCAGACAGAGCCTGCACCTGTGAACTCTCCCCGAGCCAGGCCTGTTCAGCCCAACTGGACCTCACCGATGGACATTTTGTTGCAAGGAGAAAAGAGAAAAGCCCAGAACTGGACACTGGGTATGGGGAGGGTAGAGTTTTGCGGGGAAGGCGGCGGCGGTGAGAAGCTGACAGCTAGAGAAACTCTGACCTTGAGCATGAAGTCTCTTGACTTCACAGAGATGGAGCCTGGAGGTTTTGCCTCTAGTGGGGAGCTTTGGAACAGGGCGCCGTCTTCCCGGCCCCTTTCTTTTTGATTCACGGCCACTCAGGGACCAGTCTCACTTCCTGGGAAACAAACTCTCTTGAGATCCGTGATTCTGCAGCGCCCTCTCGTGGGCAACTGGAATCTATCTGGAGAGAAAACCTCAGGACACGGGCATACAGTCATCACACATGTGGGCATTCATGGATTTTAAAATCGTATGTCCAAGTCCTTCCACCTGCTGCCACTCACTGTAATATTAAGTCCTAAATGAACAGCTGACTATTTGTATATACGGGTGGGAGCCTGGTGCGAAATCTGTTACAAGACAACAAAGGACTGAGGACAGGGCTCAAATGTGTTAAGGTGGTGTAGACAGAGACTGGAAAGAATCCAGAATGGTGACATGCGAATGTGTGTGTGCACTGAGTGCATGTGTGAGACAGCCTGTGCTAAACAGATTCTGCCACGTTTCCAAATGATTTGGGCACACCCTCTTTACATCCTCCAGCCTAAGTCAGGACACTCTCTTTAGTTTCCTTCTGTGCTCCAGAGAGTGTATTGTCCAAGCCTTCCCAAGCCTGTGCAGAGGGGAAAGTACAGACTCAACAGAGGGAAAGAGGTTCCAAGAGTGTGTGGCCTCAGGCTGGTAAAACTCCAGGTGTAAGTTTCCTCAGTGGGTCGTGTGCCTCCCCAGGCTTGCTGGAAATTAAACACGATCCAGTTGGAAGGCCCCAACACCAGGTCTCCTGGCCTTGTTGACTCTCGGTCCCGGTAGATGGAGGCTTGGTGCAAGTGTGATCCCCACTTTCCACCCACCCAAATCGAATTAGCCTCTCCTAGACTGCAGGGCTGGCAGCCAGACCCCACTCCTCCTCTCACATTCTTCTTCCTGTTCCTCCTCACATCTTAAAGACCACATCCTCACTCCCATCCTGATCTGTCCCAGTCCCCAGGGTATGTTTTGCTTTCCCCTCCCTGGGGCTTGCCTCAGCTTCTTCCTCCACCATCCCTTCCTATTGCCCCTTTCAAAAGACAGCTTTCCCCTACCTTCATTCTTCCATCTGCCCAACTGGCTCATCCCCTGCACGTCACACCCAGCCTCCCCCCCCGCCCCCAATCTGCTGCATCCCAGCCCTACCTTAGATAAGGGATGTCATCGTCCAGGTTATGATCTGGCTTCTTCACCTCCCCCTTCCCAACCATGGACTTCCAACCCATGGAAAAGAAAGGTGCCAGCTACCATCCCATTGGAAAGTGCCTGGTTCCAACCCCATGATGGCAGCCTTGGGGAAGGGTGCTTTACACTGTCAAGAAGAGAACCTAGCAGGACTGACTGCAAGGTGGAGGATGCCCAGGAAATGTGGAGCTCACAGGACCTCATGGTGTGGCACAGATGGAAATGTCCAGATCAAACGGAGGAGGTGAGGCCCGCCCCCGTCCTCTGCCCAGGGCCGCTCCTCCCCATAGTATGTACTGAGAAAGCCTTTGCTGCCTCTGCTGTTCCCCCCTGTCCAGACAGGGACAGATGTAAACAGAGGCTGGAAAACAGAGATAGAGGGAACCAGGATGAAGAGAAGTGACGTAGACGCACGAAAGCCTGGAGCCGCAAGGAGCTGCACTGAGGTGGGGGAGGAGTGTCTTGAGCACTTGGCATCTCATTTCACCTCACAGCAACTGTGACTGAGGGATGGCATCAGCCCATTTCACAGGCGAAAGAAACAGACATGGGGAAGCTTCCAGGGCCACACAGCTGGGGTGTGGCTGAGCTGAGCTTCCGGGCTTAGCCTGCTTCATCCCCAGGCACTTGACCTTTCCACGACACAGAGAGAGGCACGAAAAGAGGCTGTCTCCATCTTGCTTCTCAAGTGACTCAGCACACAGAGAGAAGGAAGAGGCCAGCATACAGAGACCGGAGAGGCTCTGAGGGACACGCCAGGAGAGAGAGGGCGATGGGGAGACAAAGACACAAGGAGGGGCAGGGAAAGATGCTGCTTATTTCTCCCGATGCAAATGGATTTGGTGGAAAATACATATTTCAGGTTTCATTCCCAGATCATCAGAATCAGAATTTCTGATAGTGGGACCAAGGAATGTGCATTTCAAGAAGGTTCCTCCAAGTGGCAAGGTGTGCTGAGATATCTGCACCTAACTTGAAAATGCACGCAAAAAGTCAGATAAGTTGACAGATGGAAAGAGGGAAGAGGAACTGATGTCCTACGTGATAAGCAGAGCAAAATATTAACTGAGGAGTGTAGAAAGTAGGTAACACTGTTCACTGTATGATTCTCCTCACTTTCTGTATGTTTGAACAATTTTATAAGCTGCCGGAGAAACAAGCTTCCAAATGACTGTGATGATTGGGCAGGTTTGGGACCATGGATGTAGGGGAAGGCTCCGTCAGAAAATGTTTGGGGGAGTGGTTGCCCTCGAACCCCACCCCCAAGCTCCAGTCACCAGCCTCTGGTTTCCTCAGCTTCACAGCAACCCCAGAATCTACAGCAGACTGAACAAGGCACTGTCCCTTCCCCTGGGTTCTAGAGGAAGTTCATTTGTCCCTTGGGGTCTCCTGTTTACCGCGTTGAGCAGGATTGGGGGGTACCTAGGCTTTGTCTTATCTGGAGGGTTGTCTGAGGCTGGTCCCTGTGGGGGCGTTTATACTAATGCAACGAAGCAGACCCATGGTGTGGATTTGGGGCACAGCTTGGAGAGGTGAGGCTAGAAATTTTCTTGGAAAAATCTGAAGCTGAACTTCTCGCAATGGCCCTTCAGCACCTTGGCCAGAGCTGGGGAGCCACAGAAGAAGACCTGCACCTTGCCTTTCTTCTCAGCAGCCACTTTCTGGAACACCTGGAGTCAGTGGGGTTGAGGAAGAGAAGAGGGAAGATAGGTGGAGTTGCTGACTCACCAGTGACACAACCGCCCGGAGGTAACAGCATAACAGGTCAGCAGCAACAAGCATCCCCATTTTACACAAGAAGCTGCATGGCACAGCTGCTGGATTTTACAGCAGAGTTCGACACTCAGCCATTCAACTAAGAGCCATTTGTTCAACTGGCAACATGACCCAGAACCCCAGGGAGGGGACCAGGGCCAAAAATAAGTAAGACCCAGGCCCTCCACTCAAGGATCTGCAACCATGGGAGACAGGCACTAAATCAGATATGCAGAGAGATGCATACAGTGCTCTGGGACTCCCGTGGGAGTCTGAACCTGGTGTTAGTCCCCAGGGCTGGCACCTGCTGTGATTTAAATATCTTTCCTGATGTCAGTCTTTCCCCCAGAGAGGACCCTTTTCTACCCCAAATTCTGCTTATGAATTGCCTTTTTCTGAAAGTCCTCTTCGACGCCCAAGCACTCACCACAGACATTCCCCTCCCACTCAGCTGTCGTGACCCGGCCATGGGGTCATCTGCAGCACTTTTAAAAGCAGCACCTTCTGGGCCACTTCCTGCAAACTGTATACCCTGACAGGTGAGTGTTCAGGGAAGCAAAATAATAACAAAACCAATCTGAGAAATAAAAGGATTGCAAACTATTTCATGGCTCTGTGCCTCAGTTTCCCCATTTGTAACAGGAGATGATAAGATCTGGTGTTTTTCCAGGTCCTTGTCCACTCAGGCCTTCTGACACTGGTCCATAGGGAGTCAAGGCTGCAGGGGTCTTTGAGGTCACAGAGACTGGCTTCCTCTCTGAACAGATGGGGAAGCTGAGGCTAATGATGGAACAAAGGCTAGTGATAAAGCCAGTGTAGGTGCCCTGTTTACCTTTTGCACCATGAGGTCCCTGCTGGACTCTGAACTCTTAACCTCACACTTTGCCCCTGACCTTGCCCCACCGCTGCCTCGGGCTCTCAGCTTCACCCATGCCTGCAAGTTGCAGGGCTCCAGTTGGCATTACCTTGCTCCAGTCAGGCCGCCCAGGCTGGGTGCGCGTCTGCAGCCCCGTGATGGAGTCTTTCTTCTCCTTGTTGGCCAAGAGGTCAAGGGCCATCTGCAGGCCAATGGCCTTCATGTCATTCTTGCCCAGTGCAGATGTCATGTACATATGCAGCTCCAGGAAGCGGTCTGTTGGGTAGGGGACGAGGACTGCACTGAGGGCCTAGCACCCATGATGGGCGCAGGGCAGTATGCCAACCACTACCTTACCCTGGGACTTGGAGGGAGACCCATAGGTCTTTTGCCCAGGGTCTGTCGTGTGACCAGTGCCATGGAGAGGAGAGGCAGCCCGTTGCTTGAGCTGGCCCTACTATGTGCATGGCACACATTAGTTACTTTATATGCACGAAGGTGAGCCTCACAGCCACTCCAAGAATTAGATCTTTTATATTTATTTATTTAGTACTTTTGTAGAGAGAGGGTTTCACTGTGTTGCTCAGGCTGGTCTTGGATTCAAGCAATCCACCCGCCTCAGCCTCCCAAAGTGCTGGGATTACAGGTGTGAGCCACTGTGCCTGGCCAAGATCTTTTGTATTTATAGAAGAAATGCATCCCAGGGCAGTGAGCATGGCAGTCCCTGGGCTCCAAAGCTCGTGCCCTTCTGTGCCTTACATGTCTGTCCTCATCCTGGCTGGGGACACAAGCCACACACATGAAAAGGTAATTTGGACTAAAGGGTCAAAGGCCGAGTGAATGGATCATAGCGTGAAGGCTACTGATATGCAGGGAAGGGCTAATGCAGACAGAGCTGCTTCCCAGAAGGGATGGGGACTGGGTTAGGCCTGGGACGAGGGGTGAGAGTAAAAGCAGAGGTGAAGGGAAGGCATGCTAAGTAGGACTAGTGTGAGCACACAGTGAGAGGCTGGAACAAATGCGATGCTGGCGGGGCAGGGTGTGGTGCCCAGCTGGAGCCGTTCCTCGGATGGGAGCAAAAGGAGGTGGGACTGGAAACAGATTGAGGCCAGAATGAGAAGGGTCTTGAATGCCCAGCTAGGAGAGAGGGGAAGGTTGAGAGTAACTGAGTAGGGCGTGACATAATGAAACAGCGCTTTAGGAAGCGGCATCGGAGAGCTGAGGAGACGGGGAAGGAGACTGGCACGAAAGAGCCCACAAGGCCAGAGAACCTGCAGTTCTGCGCCACAAAGTTACAGGTCTATTGGGATACCGATCCTTCAGCACTCAGGAGCTCCCAGGTGCGCACTTCCATGTTCCATACTCAGACGTGACATAAGAATGTTATCATTTTTATGTGTGCCATGATGAGAAAAAGATTGGTGAGTGCTGCCTTAGGCTTGAGTGTCGCTTCAAGCCAGAGTTGGCAGGGCCTGAGCTAGGATGTGGCAAGGAGCATTCCCGAGCTGATGATCACCTCATTCTTCTCCTCTTCCTCTCTTCCCCTACACCCACACTGAAGGAGCTTTGCCATTTCAACGTGCTTTTTTATTGTTTCCTAAGTCACCATCAGCCCATTTTTCATTTGGCCTAAGGTCTCAGCTGCTGTTACAATGCAAATGGCCCTAGGAGGGATAGCACATTTCATGTCACATGTCACTTAACCCCTAGTCGTGCTGGATGGTGTGGGAGGGAGGGAGATGTATTATGAGATGCCCACCTGGGGGACGCCCTGCTTCTTACCCTGCCTCAGAGTCACCATACCCCAGAGAGGGGTAAGAGGAGGGAAGGGGAGACACCATGGTGGGAGGGAGAAGATAAAGGGGCTGTGGAGGATGACCTGGCATGGTTTTCACCCTCTCCATCCAGTTGTGTTTCAGACAACCATCTAATTTCTGGGACACTTTCCTAAGAAAATCACCCAAAGCAAGAAAAAAACTATGTGCACAAATATATTAATTTCTGCATTTTTATGATTATGAAGAATGAGGAATAAACAAAATGTCCAGTAGTAGGAGCTTGATTAAATAATTTATGGTATAACCACTAACTACACCATTCATTAAATAGCCATTAAATACTACTACTGCTTTTATTAAACAGTTATTACTACTAGAACTTCTACTACAAATAAATTTATTAAACAGTTACTATTACCACCACCACCACCACTAAATTTATCAAGCAGTTTATTAAGCTCCAGTCACTGTTCTATGTGTTCTGCAGATGACATCTCATCTAATTCCCATGACAATCCTATGAGGTGGGTACTAGTAGCATCCAGATTTTTCAGATAACTGCTTTCAAGGCAAACTGGTTAAATAATATGCCCAAGGTCCTATAGCTATTAAGGGTAGAGTAAAGATACAAACTTAGAATAATTGACGCTTAAGCTATAGAAATTAAAAATTATAAACCAAAAATTATTTAATGCAAACCTTGACGTATAATTAAAGTTGAAATCAGAAGCCACAAATTTCAGCTGCAGTTAATGAGAAACCCTGAAAGAAATTTGATGTGATAGAGTTGTTGACTCGAGTGGCTTTGAGAATGCAAAGCACTGGGTTAGCTGTTACCCTTTGTTTACACAGATTAAGAATAAGCAAACAGCAAATATTTATGTGCCAGTAACTAGAAAATTTAAATTAAATTTAAACTTTTCCTTCAGCTTGTCATCATAAAATTGAGTTTCTAATGAATTAATATAAGTAAAAGCATTTAAGAAAAAGAAGTCAATGGTATATAAATATTTGCTGTAATCGTTATTTACAAGAAAGGGCAAGGAGCTTTACTGAACTATTCTAAGCTTGAAGCGTTATCTTCCAAAGACTGTTGACTTGAACTTTAAGGTTCTGAATGTCTGTTATAGTAAACTAGATCTGTTTGGATAGTTTCTTGTAGAAAACTGTATTTGATTACTTGAACGTATAAACTGTGTTTATCATAGGAATTTGAATTCACTCATGACAACCTTGTGATAATTAAAGAGTCAAATACAATCTGGTTCTAATGAACTCAACAAGTCTAAAACACTACGCCAATTCTCTTAAAAAGTCAGAAACATATCTAAAGATAGTTCTCCTTCTATAAATTATAAGGAAAACAAAACAATGACTTTAACAGATTAACATTTAAATATAGTGTAAACCCTCAGTATTCCACAAAGATGTCCCATTAAGACTATGATATGATCCAGAGAAATATTTCACCATACTTAATAATGATGAGAGTAAATGCTTAGTAAAATATGTAGAATACAGCAAACATTTGGGCAGTGAGGAGGGAGAGGTTGGAGAGGTTGAGGGGAAGACATTCAAGCCTTCTTTTCTTTTTGAGACAGCGTCTTACTCTGTTGCTCAAGCTGGAGTGCAGTAGTGCTATCATGGCTCACTGCAGCCTCAAACTATTGGCCTCAAGTGATCCTCCCACCTCAGCCTCCCAAGTAGCTAGGGCTACAGGTGCATGCCACCATGCCTAGCTAGTTTTTTTAAAAATATTTTTTTTGTAGAGACAGCGTGTGCCTATGTTGCCCAGGCTAGTCTCAAACTTGATCTCAAGCAATCCTCCCTTGGCCTCCCATAGCACTGGGATTACAGGCGTGAGCCACCAGGCCAAACATTCATTTTTGATAAAAGTATAAAAGAAGGGACCAAACAGTTAAAGACTTCATATATACTAAGGTATTTAATCTTTAAAAAAAAAAATACGAATGGAAGGAAAAAAGGGTGTCTAATCTAATCTTCTTTTTTTTTTTTTTTTTTTTTTTTTTTGAGACGTAGTCTTGCTCCTCGCCCAGGCTGGAGTGCAGTGGCATGATCTCGGCTCACTGCAACCTCTGCCTCTTGGGTTCATGCTGTTCTCCTGCCTCAGCCTCCTGAGTAGCTGGGACTACAGGCCCTCACCACCACGCCCGGCTAATTTTTTGTATTTTTAGTAGAGACGGGGTTTACTGTGTTAGCCAGGATGGTCTCAATCTCCTGACCTCGTGATCCACCCACCTCAGCCTCCCAAAGTGCTGGGATTACAGGCGTGAGCCACCGTGCCCGGCCAGGGTGCCTAATCTTTATCTTAGATCATTCTCTAAACTTTTTGATTGTCACTCATCAGAAAAAAGGTTGAGCATTCACCCCCAATAAATATATCTGTTTATCCATGTTTGTCTCTACTTACAGCTTGTATACATCAAAAATATAGGTTGCAGGCCAGGTGCAGTGGTGCATGCCTGTAATCCCAGCACTTTGGGAGGCCAAAGCTGGTAGATCACTTGAGCTCAGGAGTTCAAGACCAGCCTGAGTAACCTGGAGATACCCCATTTACTAAAAAAAGGAGATTAGCTGGGCATGGTGGCGCACATTTGCAGTCTCAGCTACTTAGGAGGCTGAGGTGGGAGGATCACTTGAGCCCAGGAGGCAGAGGTTGCAGTAAGCGCCACTGTACTCCAGCCTGGGTGACGGAGCCAGACCCTGTCTCAAAAAAAAAAAAGAAAAATTTACATTGCAGTAAAGTGAACCACATTTACCCTTCCACCTGAAACGACCAGAAAAATGTACAAAACACACGAAACAATGGTTTCCAGACATTGGTCAGCAGGTGGCACGGGACTGTCATTGCTGAGAGAAGAGAAACAGATGAAGTAAACCCTACAACAGCCCTGCTTATTGCCTGATGCAGTCTCCTGAGGCGAGGAGACAGAAACTGACATTCACAGAAGCCAAGACAGCCAGAATATTAGGCACAAGACTGGAAAAGGGAACTGCAGAAAGGAAGAGAGGGAAGGAGGAAAGGAGAGAAGGAGAGATGCAGGGGAGGAGGCCACTCACTAGCTCTGGAAATCTGCATAGCTTCTCTTAAGTCCCTGACTGAGCAGTAATTTGAATGTGTGAAAGAAAATGACCAGAAAAACTAGGATGGACGACACCTCGAGCTAAGCAGCTGGGAATAGTTTGCGTTCCCACTAAAAGCGAGGAGGCTTTGCCATATATAGGGCATTAGGTAGAGTCCTACCCCACACTAAAGACTGCTCTAGACTCACCCCAATAAAAGTTAAAAGTGGGCCTCAAGAAGACCCACAGTCTTACATAATTTAACTGTGCACCAGAACGAAGTGCAGTACTATTTAAAGAAATAACACAAAATCCAGGCCAGAGGCTCACGCCTGTAATCCCAGCACTTTGGGAGGCCGAAGTGGGCGGATCACTTGAGGTCAGGAGTTTGAGACCAGCCTGGCCACCATGGTAAAACCCCGTCTCTACTAAAAATACAAAATTAGCCGGGCGTGGAGGCGGGCACTTGTAATCCCAGCTACTTGCGAGACTGAGGCAGAAGAATTGCTTGAATCTGGGAGGCGGAGGTTGCAGTGAGCTGAGATCGCACCTGGGCGACAGAGCGAGATCCAGTCTCAAAAAAATAAAAAATAAAATAAAATAATAAAGAAATAACACAAAATCCATAATACAACAACATAAAATTCATAATGTCTGGCATCAAATAATAAATTATCGGGCATGCAAAGAAGCCAGAAAATACAATTTAACCTGGAGAAAATTAGTAATTAGATACAGACTCATAAGTGACAGAGATGATAGACATAATAGACAAAAATGTTGAAAAAATTAATGAATGTGCTCAAGAACATCAAAGCAAAATAAAACAAAACAAATATGATGGTCAGGCGTAGTGGCTCATGCCTGTAATTCCAATACTGTGCGAGTCTGAGGCGGGAGGATTGCTTGAACCCAGGAGTTCAAGACAACCAGCCTGAGCAACATGGTGAAACCCCTTCTCTGCAAAATACAAGGAAATGAGCCACGCATGGCCATGCATGCCTGTAGTCTCAACTACTTGGAAGGTTGAGCTGGGAGGATTGCTTGAGCCCAACCTGCAGTAAGGCACAATCACACCACTGCACTCCAGCCTGGGTGACAAGAGTGAGACTCTGTCTCAAACAAAACAAAACAAAACAAAACAACAAATATGTCGACAAGAGAAATGGAGGCTGTAAAGAGACCCAGATAGAATATCTAGAGAAGAAAAATACAGTAACAAATGAAAAATACATTGGGTAGAATCAATAGCTGTTTTAAGTCCTTTGGCTTTTTATGTACATTTCAGAATCAGCTGGTCCATCTCTATTTTTCAAAAATCCTGCTGGGATTTTTATTAGGATGGGAATAATAGATAATGTGCTACAGAAGAAAAGATCAGTGAACTTGAAGACATAGCAATAGAAACTATCCAAAATGAAGCAGAGAGAGAGAAAGAGAAGAATAGAGACTCAGTGACCTGTGGGATAATATCAAACTGTGTAACTGAAGTGGCAAGAAGGGGAAGAGGAAGTAAACAAACAAAAAACAGATAAACATGTTTTTTCAAACAGCTGGAAATTTTCAAATCTCATGAAATCTATAAGCCCATTAAGCCAAGAAGTTCAATGACCTCCAAGTATAAGAAACATAAAACCACACCAAGGCACATCATAATAAAATTACTGAAAACCAGTGACAAAGATAGACATTTACAAGCGGTGAGATTTTTAAAAGATACATTATGTATGGGAGAACAAAGATAATGGCACCAATCATCTTGTCAGAAACGGTGCAGGCCAGAAGACAATGAGGAGGTATCTTCAAAGCAATGAAAGAAAATATAATCAACTGGTGATAATATCTTTCAAAAATCAAAGTGCGATAAGGTGTTTGTGGTCAAAAGCCAAAAGAGTTTCTCACCAGCAGACCTGCACTAGAAAGAACCATTGTTCTTCAAGCAGAAGGAAAACTTTCCCAGATGGAAATCTCGACCCAGGCACAAAAAGTGTAAAGAACCCAGAAATGGTAAATATGTGTATAAAAATAAAAAATTTGCTTTTCTGATCTTTAAATTTCTTTTTAAAAGATAATTGGACAAATGGTGGTACACCCATAAAATGGAATACCACTTAGCAATGCAAAGGAATGAATGACTTACTGATACATGCAACAACACGGATAAATCGTGAGGGTATTATGCTAAGCAAAAGAAGTCAGATGGAACAGACTACATATTATAGGATTCCATTTATATAAAATGCTGTAAAAGGCAAAATTGTCATGATAGAAAGCAGACCAGTGGTTGCCATGGGTTACAAGTCAGGGGAGGGTGTTGACTGCAAAACAGGAAGAGGAAATTTTCAGGAGTAATGGAAAGAAATGCTCCATATTTTGATTGCAGGGGTGGTTACACTACTGTATGCATTTGTCAAAATGCCATTGTATTCATTGTATGCTTAAATTGGTAAATTTTATTGTATGTAAATTATACTTCAAAAGCCAAACACAAATTAGTGTGAATAAAAATCATTTGAGGGGCATGTTAAAATGTACATTCCTGAGCCCGACTCAGAGAGAATCCATTTGATTTGGAAGGTCTGGGGTGAGTCCTAGGAATTTAAATTTTCAACATGTGCCTATTCTGAATTAAAAGATATGTCATGAAAAAGATAAATTATAAAAATAAAGAAATATATTTTTATAAAATGTGAATAAGAAAACAAAAATTGGAAGGGAATCCTTTAAAATGCCTGGCGTCATCTGGATAGCTGGATGAGATTATGAGGGCTTTTTTTTCCCCCTTCTACTTTTTAACTTTACAAAATATTACACTTTAATAGAACCTCCCCCCATCCTGCTTCTCAAGACATGGAATAAACATCTTCTTAAAAAGACTGAATTAGCCTGGGCAATATAAGGAGATTTCCTCTCTACAAAAAAAAAAAAAAAAAAAAATTAGCGGGAGTGGTGGCCTGCACCTGTGGTTCCAGCTACTCCGGAGGCTGAGGCGGGAGGATTGCTTGAACCTGGGAGGTAGAGGCTGCAGTAAGCCATAATCATGCTACTGCACTTCAACTTAGGCGACAGAGTGAGACCTTGTCTCAAAAAAAAAAAACAAAAAAAAAACAACTCTGAGTTTGCTTAATGGTTAAATGGTTCATTTTAGGTTACGTGGGTTTCATATCAATACATTATTTTTTTAAAGATGCTGAATGCCCCTGTCCCACTCCCACTGCCCTCAGGCCCTGTCCCTCTCTTACCATGTTGAGTCTCCTGGGCCTGGTCCATCTCCAGTTTAGTCAGCAGGCTCACAAACCACTCAAAAGACCGCTGGTCTCTGTTGATCCAGATAAAGTCCACCTAGGGAGAGAGGCCCTTCAGCTCAGCGGCTGGGTCTGCCTCATTTGCAGGAGGCTCACATCTGTAATCCCTGGGACCCATATGACCACCCTGAAGTAAGCAGGGAACATTCACATACCCATTTAAGGGAGGGAAAAATCAGGGCTCATAGAGGTGAGCAGCCATGCCCAGATCACAGAGCAGCATGGTACCAGAACCAGGTTTCTGACCCCAAGGCGGGGATTTTCTCTAATATCTTCTACTGTTTACAACAAACAGTGTGTTGAAATACTAGCTTAGGATAGCCAGAAAAACATAAATTACTTTTTAAGAAACTCTTCTAAGTGGTATATACAGGATGATGAATTTTCAAAAGGCAAACATGTTTTCATTATTATTTGATTATATTATTTTCATTATTATTATTATTTCTTTTTTTTTGAGACAGTCTCACTCTGTCACTCAGGCTGGAGTGCAGTGGTGTGGTCTCAGCTCACTGCCACCTCTGCCTCCTGGGCTCAAGTGATCCTCCCACCACAGTCTCCCAAGTAGCTGGGACCACAGGTGCCCGCCACCACACCCAACTGATGTTTTGTATTTCTGGTAGAAACAGGGTTTCACCATGTTGCCCAGGCTGGTCTTGAGCTCTTGGGCTCAAGTGATCTGCCTGCCTTGGCCTCCCAAAGTGCTAGGATTACAGGCATGAGCCACCTTGCCCAGCCAGTATGTTTCCATTCTTAAAACCACCATAGGGGTCATGGATAGGTAGCATTATGGCTGCAACTGAATCCAGACTGCCTGGCTGTCAAGCTACGCAACCTTTAATGAACTGTTCAGAACATGTCTCAGAGGTGATGGGAACATCGAAGCAGGGGCGGGGCTCAGACATTCAGGAGGCATCAGGGGAACTCATTTAAGAGAATTCAGGGTATCGTGGGGAAAGAAAGATCCCATCAGGGATGACCTGTCTGCTCCCACCTTTGCACAGGAGGATGGGCTCCTATTTTAGGAGGTGTCCAGGGGAGAAGGTCTGGAGGCCTGCCTGCAGAAGGTGGTACTCACCTTTTGGAGCTTCATGTTGTCTTGGACACCTTCGATCCAGGAGTGCTGGCAGTTGGGGCAAGTATGCTTTCTTTTCTGGTGCCTGAGGGGAGGCAGGAGGAAGGCATTATAAATTTGGGGTGAGAATTTTCAAGAACCCAGAGTTTAGTTCAGGGGACACGGAGCAAGGATGGGGTGGCAGAGTCCACTCTATGAGGAAGGGGAGGGATGAGACACAAAAAGGAGATGGGGGCAGAGCAGGAGAGGCAAGAGAGAGAAGAGCAGAGAGAGAGAGACAGGTGAAAGGAGAGGAAGGAGAAGGAATAAAGGGAGGAGGAGCGGGGAGGGCGCCTTGGGGCTCTGACCCAGGATGCAGGCAGGAGCACACTGTTTGCCCACCTGTGCATGATACTCTGCAGGATGGAAGCAAAGGGGGTGATGCCGATGCCTGCCCCGATGAGCACGGCGTGCTCAGAGGCGAAGATCCTGCGGGTGGGGGTCCCGTAAGGCCCATCAATGTAGCACTGCGCACAAGAGGGAGTCAGAGAAGGGAGATGGGGGGGTGACGCTGGTCTCCCCTGCTACCAGGGGATGTCCCCAGCGCTTCAGGACCCCCTTTATACATAAAAAGACATCTCCTGGGCTGGAACCCAGGTCTAAGTGGCTCCCAATCCAGTGCTCTTTCCACATCCTGTGCTCTCAGCACCAGCCTGGGGAGAACTCTAGGTGTTAGAATGCAGAGCTAGTGAAAACAAGGACTCGATCCGCATCCCAGGGGTGCATGCCTGCCACTGCCGGGTGTGTGCCGTGGGTGCCCAGGAGACAGGGACAGAGAGCACGTAGCCCTGTACACTGCACACCCATCCCTGCTCCTGGAGAAGAGACAGGCCGAGTGTGAGGTGTGAGGCCGAGCACCCTTGGATATAAAGAGCAGGGGGAGGGATGTGGTTACATGACCCGGATACCTGGATGTCAGCCCATGGGGATTTGAGGAGCTTGAGTACCCACAATCACAACAGCCCCTCCTTAAAGGCAAAGACTTCATTTCCTTTGGTTGGGGCAGGCGTTCTTGCTCATGTCCACCCCTGCAGCCTCTCACCTTGATGTTACAGAATTGGTGGTTCTCCAAAAGTATCCTGGAGCCCTGCAGGGAGTAGAGCAGAGAGTTATGGGTCTTGGTGTGGACAGTATTAGGCATTTCTTAGAAGCTTCTTTGCCTTTGAAGGATAACATCAGGGATGTGCTGGTAAACTGACTTCTGGAGATAACAGTCTTGATTGTTAGCTTCGGCCCATTTCTGTGGTGTAAATCCTGCCCACCGTGGCTCCCACCATAACAACTGTGTTTAATAACCAGCTCACGAAATTCCTGAAAATTTAACAGTGGCTCCTATGGTCTAGCACAAGTCAGTTTCAGGGTGTGACTGGAAAGCACTCCCCTCCTAACCTGAAATATTCTTTTCCCTCTGCCTGAAATACCCTTTCCTCTTTCCCAGCTGTCAAATTCCTTCAGTGCACACTATATCTTTCATTGTCCAGCTCATCTGAAGTTGCTATTCCTCTTTGAAGCTCTTCCCACCTTCTCCAAGCAGAGAAGCCAGGGTCTCCCCTGGCTCACAGTTCCCCGGGCCCTAGGGCTTTGCTCTGGGGTTGCAGACAGTGTGCTCCTTGGGGGAAGAGAGCAGGCCTCCTCTGTCTTCCTCAGGACTTAGAGCATGGTAGACAGTCAGCCCTGTCCGAGTCAGTATCTTTCCTTCTGGAAGGTGAAGGAAGCAGACCCCAGAACAGGCCTAAAGGAGCCTGTGCTATTTCCTGCTCTGGTGCAGGAGGCAGAGTTAGGAGTGACCTTCACAATCATCCAGGCTGAGAGCATGGGAAGGACGTGCCCACATTCCCACGGAGCTCTGGTAAATCCTGGGTCTCTTGCTGCCTCTCCAGGATCGTGACATCATGCCATGTTGCTTCTTTGTCCAGAGATGACTGAAGGCTGCTCTCCTGGTGTGGGGCATGAACTCCTGGTGGTGGCTTGAGAGTCAGGCTATGAGACAGTTCCTCTCCTTTCAATTTTCTTTAGTCCTTCTCATGGCAACGAGAAAGCCTTCCATTCTGGCTAATGCATCTCTACCACCTCTCTAACACTTATTAACCTCTTCTCTTTTTTTCCTTCCTTTTTACAAAGTGAGAAAGGAAAGAAAGAAAAGGAAGAAAGTGTGAAAGAAAGAAAGAGAGAGGGAGAGAGGGAGGGGGTGAGAGAGACAGAGGGAAGGAAGGAAGGAAGGAGAAGGGAGAAAGAAAGAAGGAAAGAAAGAAAGAAAAAGAAAGAAAGAAAGAAAGAAAGAAAAAGAAAGAAAGAAAGAAAAAGAAAGAAGGAAGGAAGGAAGGAAGGAAAGAAAGAGAGAGAGAGAGAAGGAAGGAAGGAAGGAAGGAAGGAAGGAAGGAAGGAAGGAAGGAAAAGGGAAGAGTGTGGAACACCACCTCTGGCTTGGAGCCTTAGCAGACAGGCCGTCTAGCAAGAATTTAATAACATTGATTCTCATTGTTTTTACTTTCAGAGCTATCCTGTGTTCATGACATGTAATACTAGTTTTCCATTAGAGATAATAATCTTAAGACTCCTTTTGAAATACAATTAAGTTTAAAGTAATGTTGGGACGTAAGAGAAACACTAAGTAGAAAGTATTACTGGGGCAGTTATTACGCAAAAGTCGGGAAGGTAGCAGGCAGATGATTGGCTTCAGAGACACCCAGGTGATGTGTCATCCTTTCTGAACATGGTTTGACCTTAAGGCATGTTCCAAGGACCCACCATCTATGGGAAGATAAGCCAGCTGGCCCTCCTGCCTCTAGTCCCACCTTCCTCAGCCTTACTAGGCCACTGTCTTCAGAATAGGCTTCCCACCATGTGTGAGTCTCCTCTTTTGTCTTCATGTACACCAGGTCTTCGTCCTGCGGCCAGGGATCTCCCTTGGGCCTGTAGGACGTCAGCTCCAGTGACATCCTTGTCAGACGCCACAACTCCCTGTGCTGGGGGCTGTACACTCTGCTTTGTTTCAAAACAGAAATTTCTTTATTATTTAAATCACAAATCGATAACGTTAGCTTTAAAAATACAGATATAGAAACTATTAAACAATAGTGAAAAAAGTATCAGAGCATCTAACTACTCAGCATTTTCTCCATGCACTTACAGATTTTTTTCTAACACAGACATACACAATACTTTCACCTAAATGGAGCATACTTTTTAGTAGCCTGCTTTTTCCACTTACTACATCTTGACAGGTTTTCCAAGTAAATACATTTAAATTGACTGAATCATTTTCTTAGGAGATTTAATATTCTATTGTAAAGGTGATCAGCAATTTATCTAGGTATTTTCCTATTGTTGGGCATTTTGATTAGCTTCATTTTCTCATTATTGTAAACAACCACCCTCTCTGAAATAGCACTTTTCCCATCCCTACCTCTTGACACTGACTTATTTATCTTTACAGCATTTATTACCACTTGACATATTATGCATATATTTTATTTGTTCATTGTCTGTCTCCCCACCAGAAGGTAAGCAGTGACTATGCCTTTGTTACTTACTGATAGATCTCCAGCATCTAGAACAGAACCTGGAAAAAAGCAGATGCTGCGCTCCACAAATATTTGCTAAATTAACAAGGAAATTACTATATTTTGTGTGCACCCGTCCAATTAGCATTTTTTTTTTTTTTTAGATGGGGCCTTGCTCTGTTGCCCAGGCTGGAGTACAGTGGCATAATCTTGGCTCACTGCAACCTCTGCCTCCTGGGTTCAAGCGATTCTCCTGCCTCAGCCTCCTGAGTAGCTAGGACTACAGGCACGCACCACCCCGTCTGGCTGATTTTTGTGTTTTTAGTAGAGACGTGGTTTCACCATGTTGGCCAGGATGGTCTCAATCTCCTGACCTCATGATCCGCCAGCCTCGGCCTCCCAAAGTGCTGGGATTACAGACGTGAGCCACCACGCCCGGCCCCCGGTTAGCTTTTAAGAATACGTCCCTAAAATGGAGTTGCTGGGCATGTAGGTATACATATTTAAAATGCTAACACATACAGCCAGGCTGCCTGCCAGAAAAGATTGTGCCAATTTATAGTGGCAGAGGTGACTGAGGTCCCAAGGAAACAGCTTTTAGTGTGTCTAGCCCACTGATCCACAATGTGCCATGACTCGTCTGATTTTGAAAGTCAGCTTCCTCCTTCAGGAAGTTTCCCTGATTAACAGCCCAGAATGTTCTGCTTTTCCTACCTACCCCTGCATATCCCAGAGCTTTGCTCCTGGTGTGGTCCTGGAAAGGTCCTCTGGTCTGGCCAAGCAGGATCTCACCTGGATCTCAACCCTGGACTTTAAATTCCCCAATGGCAAGGCAGGATTGGGCCAGGCCTGCAGACGTCTCCTATGGCAGGGTTTTCATATGTTAACCTGTCTCCCAGCCATGAGGCACAGTCTACTTAGTTCGAATTCAGCCACCCTCAGCCTCAGTGTCTATTCTTATTTCTTTAGCAGTTGCTCTGCCTCTCTCTGTTCCTCCAAAACCTGATGGCACCAGCAGCTCATCAGCTTTATAGGTTTCATCAAGGATCTAAAGAGAATAACATTGCTGATGGTGATGAGGAGGAGGAGGGGGTCCACCTGGACCCTGCTGCCTATTTCACGCAGTACTTTATGTGCATTCATTCAGTTGGTTTTTTAAATAGTCGTAAGAGAAAGGTAAGTAATAGAGGGAACTACTTCTATTTTATAGATGAACAAACCAAAGGACATGCCCAAGGCCACACAGTTAGAGAGTATTAGAGCAGAGACCTGGAGGTGGGTCTTTCTGATTTCAATTCCCACTCTCTTTCTGTTGCTCTCTTCCCCCATCTAATGGGGGACATCAGACTGGGAAGGATCTGGAGTGGTAACACTTCGAGAAGGTTCTTGAACCACGGAGTCAGCAGTTGCCTAACCCCCTTGTGCTGCCATTTGTGTACACAGCAGTTGCTCAATAATTGATACTCACTGAGAAGAAGGAGGCAACTTGGTCTCTGTGGGCTTGCCAGCAGGTTGGACCCCTTCTCTCCAGTAGCCACCTACCTTGGACAACCTTTGGCTCTTTCTCATTGTCACACTCCTCGACAGCCTCTTGGAACCACAGCCCAGGGGGTCTGATACCTTGAAGGACTCATATAGCCTGTTTGTCCACTGGCCTTGGGACCGGATGTGCAGCCAGATAGTGTCTGAGCAAGAGAAGAGTGGGAGGGGAAAGGAGGTTCATAGTAACCGGCACCAGGGAGCAGGCCTCACCCCACCGGAGGGATTGGTGCTGGGCCTCAGCCCTCCAAGTCCTGGTTTGAATGTCCTTCCTCAGGACCAAACTAGCAGCCACAGCCACAGGACTCGGAGAGTTGATCTCTTTGGGACAGACCTTGAGATCTTTCTTGATGAAGTCAACCTGAGCTTAATAAGGGTACAGACTCCTGTAACAAAGAAAGGATCAGAGCAGCTCGCTGGGAATTTTCTAAAGGCGGGGACTCTGCCACCTCCATCAGGCCAAGGTCTCACCAAAACAGGCCCTCCTGCTAGTCAATGGCTCTGCACACAGTAGGTGCTCAGTCCATGGTGGTACCAACTGCTTTCATGGTATCCATGCCTGGAATGTAATTACTAAGGTCCTCTGTTGAATGAATGACTTATGGAAATGTGGTGTGAGGTGATGTGAGTCTTCTGCTGAGTGGTACCAAATAGAATCCACAACATCAGAGTGAGGAGGATGCAAGAGATCTCCTGCTCTGAACCCTTGTCCTTTTCCTTTTTTTTTTTTTTTTTAAACCACGGATTCTTTTAGCAGTCCTGCAAAGGCAGTGGATAGTCTCCTTCTCAGAATAAGGGTCTAAATACATGAAACAGGGATGGCCAACCTTTTGGCTTCCCTGGGCCACACTGGAAGAAGAAGAATTGTCTTGGGCCGCACATAAAATACATTAACACTAACAATAGCTGATGAACTAAAAAGAAAAAAAAAATCACACAAAAAAAATCTCATCATATTTTAAGAAAGTTTACGAATTTGTGTTGGGCCTCATTCAAAGCTGTCCTGGGCCACATGTGGCCCAAGGGCCATGGGTTGGACAAGCTTGACATAAAGTAATATACAGAGAAATTACATATGAATCCAGTTATAATTAGTTATCAAAATGTTTAAAAAAAAAAATTTGTGACAGGAATCCATGTGCTTCTTTGTTAATACATGAATTAATGAGCTCTAGCAGGCCCCAACCAACCCTGGGAATCAGAAGCAGTAGTGAGCATAAATACTCTTGAAGCATTGGCCGCAGCTGTAACATGATAGAAAGACATCCATGGTTTTCACCGTGAAAAAGTCAGAGGTACCATTAATGCTCCTGGGGTTTGTTACTCACATTTATCGTTGAAGAAAATGCTAAATTTCAGTTAGAGGTTAGTGAAAATAAAGATGTCCCATTCAAGTTGATGAAGGAATTCATGACCTGGTGTTACCATGTATTTTGCAGAGGCTTAGAGAGGTGCTTCGCAGTTTTATGAGGAGCGGATTGAAAAGTCAGGACTGGAGCTCAAGTTCTAGGATCCTAGCTCCATCCACCTTTCTGAGGTTTCCTCCTTCATTCGGGCATCAGCACCCTTAGGCGCTTGCATGCCTTGGCTACATAAATATACCCTGAAGTGCCTCAAGCAATGACTCAGACCTAGGAAGTCTCCAACAATGGTGGTTGAATTCATTCAGTCACAGTTGCTAAACTGAGTCCCACTCCTGAATCCAGTAAACAAGCTCTATAAACAAAGCTGGTATATTTACCAGCCCCCTACATGAACCCTTTCAGCTCAGGGCAGGAGACTCTCCCAGGGTCCAAGGACAGGCAGATTCCAAACTGAGACCCAGAAGAAATCCCTTCAAGAAATGGTGAAGGTCGGGCTCATGCCTGTAATCCCAGCACTTTGGGAAAGGCGGGTGGATCACCTGAGGTCAGGAGTTCAAGACCCAGCCTGGCCACCATGGTGAAATCCCAACTCTACTAAAAATACAAAAATACAAAAAAATTAGCCGTGCATGGTGGCGCATGCCTGTAATCCCAGCTACTCAGCAGGCTGAGGCAGGAGAACCTGGGAGGCAGAGGCTGCAGTGAACCGAGATCATGCCACTGCACTCCAGCTTGGGTGACAGAGTGAGACTCTAGAAAAAAAAAAAGAATTGGTGAAATATAACAAGTTTGGAAAGTTAGGGGAGAAAAAGAATGGGTGAAACACATGACACACCCATATAATATTAATAATAGTCAATAACCATATTAGTATCCATACACTGCAATACCATGCAGGCATAAAAAGGAAAAGCTCTATCTTTACTGATATACAAAGATCTCCATGACATACTGCTGCTATGAAACACTGCCTCTAGTGTGAGCCCATGTATACAAAATCTCTCCATCTGGTTAGCCATGTAGATAGAGAGAGAGAGAGAGCTGGAAGTCTATTCACCAAGTAATTGGCAATGGTTTCCCTTGGATAAAATTATATGAAGGATTCTCATTTTCTTCTGTACGTATTTTGATATTGTCTGAGTTCTCTGAGAGCACAGACGTTCTTCACAGAGTAGAAAAGAAAAGGAAAAAACTAGGGAGAAAATAGCCTCACCCTCTCCAACCTCTACCTTTGTTCCATGGTACATCGAGGGCACAATTCAGGTGATTCCAAGGTAAGGGGTATGCAGCCCCACATGTGGAAACCCTGGCCTTGGGTCTACATTGTGAGCTGAGGGATCTGGGCCAGGGGTCCTGCTGGGCTGGGTCTGGGAGGCATCCTGAGTGACACTAAAGCTTGTAACCAGGATGAGCCAGAGAACCCCCAACACGCAGGGCCGGGTAACCCTCATGAGGCCAAGCAAGGGTCTTACTGTAATAGGTCACTCAAGGCCTTCCCTGTTGGAAATGTCAGTGCAAGCCACCCTTGCCATACTTGGAGGCACCTCTCATGGTGGGAAGAAGGGCAGGGGTCCAGGTGGCAGCTCCAAAAACAGCCTGGGACTGGAAGGAAGGCACGTGCATGGGTGAGAGTCAGAGGACAGCTGAGCAAAAGCATCAGCTGAACTGTTCTGTGCATGCTAGGGACCCAAAAAGCAGTGGGAATAGTTCAGGGCTGGAGGAGAAGGGTGTGAGGGATTCTGCTGCCTTGGGGCTCTATAAGGCCCAAGTCCAGGTGGGAGTAGGGAAGCCTGGTCTCGCATCACAGCCCTCTTAAAAACGCCTATATCCTCTCCTAAGCCAGGTACTCCTCTGCTTAAGAACCATTCATGGCTCCCAATTGGCTGCTCCATCCATCTGGATTCCAACTTTGCTTCTGAAATCCTCCTTAGTCCCATCCTAGCTCGAACTGGCTTTGCCAGCAACATCGCCTGCCTTTCATGCTCTTTTTCTCTCTCTGTATGTCCCTCCCTTCTTTCCTTGCTACTCCACCTGCCCACCCACCCCCTCCCCAGAGCTCTAGCTATAGGAGACTCTTCTGAGTTTCCAGGTTCTCATGTTTTTACTTCTGGTTTTCCCTCTGCCTCCTCCCCATCTCCTTCCCTATCTGGTAAACTCCTGCTAGCCATTCAAAGTCCAGCTGAATGCCCCTGTGTCTGCAAAGGCTTCTCCCCACCAAGCCAGGCCCTCCCTATAAGACTTCAGTGCAACTGGTACTGCCCTTGCCATGCCAATCGGTGTCTGCATGCCGGCTCCCACTTCAAAGAGAGCTTTTTGAGGCTGACTTTGTGTTTCTGGCCTTGTTCAGTGCTGTGTTCCGAGTTCCCAGCCTGTACTTGGTCCACAACAGGAACTCAGTGACTAAGTGGAGAGTGACTGGGGGAGGTCGCCGTTACCTTTCTGCTCAGGAGCACTGCTGATGGTGAAGGGGTGCCACTCATAGCGAGCAATGGTGGGGATGTTCAGATACAAGTAGTCACCAGGTCTATAGTGAAAAAAAGGGGGCCGCTTGATGAGGAGATGAGTGACCTGGGAAAGAGGAAGGAGATCAGTATCATTCCTGCAGGCCCAAAGCCACCAGGGGCTCCAGGATAAGAGGGCAGAGGCTGGGCTGCCCTCCTCCTCCATAAAACAGGCATGCCCCGAGACACGACACTCTTCTGTGCTTCTAAGTGGCGGCCCACCTCAGCAGCCAACCTGCCGATCTGGAAGTGGGCAACAATCCTAGAGGGGGCAGCCAGGCTGTGTCTGAAGCGGGGCCCCTGGTTTTACCCTGCTTCTCAGGGTGTAAGCACTGCTTTTTAGTGGACCCTCTGTGACGTGTCCCTGTGATGCCTCCCTGGCTGCTCCAGCCCTTTCTTGGAACTTCGGCCAGTGCTTGGCCAGCATTCCAACCACCAATGAGCATCTCTCCTTGGACAACAACATCCTTCCAGACAATTGCTTTGGAGCACTGTGCTATCTCTAGGCCTCACAGCAATTGTATGAGGCAGGTATTATTTTCTCTCTACTTTAGGGAGGAGAAGAGGAGGCTCAGAGAGGTTAAATAACTTCCCAAGGCCACCGGGTAAGAAACCGTGGGATCTGAATGCAGCTGAGGCTGTTGGATGCCAGAGCCTAGACACACAGCACAGCCTCATTCTTCAGCCTCCCAGGTCCTCCAACGCAGTGTGTCCAGAGCTGAGCCCACCTAGAACTGCCTTCCTTTTCTCCACAGATGATACCACTCAGACACCTGGGAGACGTCCTAGACTCCATTCTCTCTGTTGCCGCAAAACATAATCAGTTGCTTCTTGAGTCTTTCTGTGATGTGCACCTGCCTCCATCCCATGGCCACTGCCTCAGTGTCAAGGCCCTCATGAACTTTCATCTTTGTGTTTGCAAGAACCTCCCCCCAAGCCCCCTCCAAGTCACCTTCCACAGAGCAACTAAAGAAATCTAACTAGAGTATAAATGATCCCAGCTTAATACCACCATCTCCTCCCAGCATGCTCAGGGGTTCCCCATGGCCTGCGGAGTGGGTCTCCCAGCTCAGGAGGCCCTTCATGAGCAGGCCTTACTCACCTCTCTGGCTTCCTCCTGGCAACTTGGCTCCAGCTATGCCTAATTACCTGTGGTCCCCCAAGCACAGTATACCCTTTCACAATTCTTGTCTTTACCATGCGGTTCCTCCTGCCAGCAATACCCTTCTTTGTCTTCTCTATCCAACAAACTCCTATTCATCCCTCAAAACCCTGATATGGCATCTTCTCCCTTATTCTGAAGTTTTCTCTGACCTCCCAAAGACAAAGGGTTTAATACCTCCAGCAACACAGCCATGCACTGTAATGAAAGGGCTGTCTACCCTAGAAAGCAGGACAGTGCAAAACCTTCTGTTTCTCTGTAACCTAGTTCAGGGCCTGACACCCTGTAGGCACCAATAAATGCTTACTGAGCTGAAGGAGAATGTTCTCCCCAAAACTGGATTTTAGAGGTGTGTTGCCTGCCCTGACATTCACCTTCCTAAAGTCTCCCTCCTGGAGGGCTGGACTGGGTCTTCCATTTTGCTTGTCTCCTCCATAGCAATGGGGCTGCAGCTACACTATTCCCTATTTCCTTGGGGGTCTGACGGGGTACCCAACTGTTCCACCCCACAAACTGTCTCTTGGGATGAATGGGAAAAGTCTCCCCACGGCCCTTTGTACCTTGGAGGGAAGGAGGTTGACTTCCATGATGCACACAGCTGCCATGCGGGACACTGCCAGTCCGATGGCCTTCTCCAGGAAAAACAAGATTCCAGGAACCAGCAGCCACTTCCAGAAGTTGGGCCCGTGAAAGATGAGCAGAAGCCACACGAGGACGTAGGACAGGTGAGTCCAATAGAACACCTGTGGGGGTAGAGGGACAGTAAACTTCCAGAACTCAAGGCTTGGGGGTTGGAACAGAGCCAGGACTCAGGGTTATCCGCAAAGCCAGGACAGTGCCCAGAGCCTTGACTCTCTCCTGGGGATGGAGCTGGGTAAGAGGTTGGGGTTGGGAAGCTTCTTTTTCTGGGGGCTTGGCCAAAGGAGGCTGTAAGGGAAGCTTCCTGATACCAGAGGCAAACATCTGAAATATCTGCCTGGGCAGACTGGAGTGCCCCCACAGGGATCATGAGCGTCAGTATCCCTGCCCCCTGACCCATTCTCAGAAGGAAGAAAGGAAAGACAGCAGTGGCTTCCTGGGAGTGGAGAAGAAATAGCAGAAGACAATTTTAGCACCCGCTAAAGCTTTGGGATCTTGGGCAATTTCATTACTTCTCTGAGTGTCAAATTCCTCATCGGTCAAATTCTGATTCCTACTTCAAAGGCTTGTTGCTGGCCCACAGTAGGTAGGTGCTCAGTATATGCCTATTTCTGATGTGGGCAGGCCAGGAGACAGTCAAGCTCCCCAAACCAAGTCCTCTGTGACTTTCTGCATCTTGAGGACGCTGGAGAGACAGAAGCGAAGATGGAACTAACATTTTCAGAGCACCTATGTGCTAGGTATGTAGTTAGTGGTTTTACATGTATTATCGCCTATAATTCCTAAAATAACATAGAGAATTACACCTCCATTTTACAGATGAGAGAACTGAGGCTTGGAAAGGTTGAGTGACCAGTAAGCAGTGGAGTGGGGATTCAAAACTTGCTGAGCCTATTGTCCATCCCCTCCCTGTGCTGTTTTAAGCCCACTTAATCTAAATAGGCTAAAGGGATAAGCCAGCAAAAAGGCAGACTCTTTCACAGCAAAACGTCTACACTTGGCAGACATAAACCACAGTCCAATGGCAGAATCCAGCGGCAGGTCCCAAATCACACGCAAGTAATAGGCAGACCAGCTTGGGACCTTCCTGGGCTCTGGAGTAAATCAGAAGGGACACGGAAAGAAATGAAAGTAGAACCCTGGCCTTGGGGGAAGCAAAAGGGCAGGGACTGCGGCACCTCAAAGTGGCCACTTCTGCGGACACAGGAACTGGAGCAGATGAACATGAGGAGGAGGAGCAGCAGCAGAGCGACACCCGTCGGGGAGGCCGAACCGTGTACCCAGCCAATGCCAGGCCGCGTGGTGAGCAGCAGTTCCCAGAACTGGAAAGGGCTGGCCTCCGCCTGAGCCTGGAGCACTGAAAACAAGCTCGGAAAGGTTGAGTGACCGCAAGACCAGCTCTTCCCACTCCACCTTCCCTTTGGAATCCCCACCCTGTACCATCAGATACTAGCACAGGCAGAAACTTTTGACCAGAGCATTGGCTTATCCAAGGCACCCCTTCTCTGCCCTTTGGGCAGGTAGTACACATAGGGGCTGGGTCCTGCATCCTGGGCTTGAAGCTGCTCAAGCTTCTCCCTGACCCAACTCTGCCCCCGATCACTCACCAAAGTTCACAATGTGGGCCACGGTGTGCACGAGGGACAGCCCCACCACCACGTAGCCCATAAGCTGGTGGAACTGGATGTTCTGGTCCAGTGGTAGGACTTGAGCCAGCCACGTGGCCCGCAGCCAGGTGAGGCAGCGTCTGAGCATCAGCACCTGGCCAGGCAGCGTGGGAGAGAGTCCTGCCTCACTGTCTGTCTGTCTTGTCCTCTTTTCCCAGCCACCTCCCTGCATCCTCCTGAGCTAGCTGTGCTTTCTGAACAGGACACTCACCAAACTCCCCTGCCCCCATGCCTTGCTGCTTCCCTGGATTCACACCTGGGACCGCTAGAGGAGGGTCTCCAGAATTGCGGTGGGAAGAGAAAGTTACAGAATGTCTATTTGTATTAATTTTTATCTAAACACATGAGAAACATCTATACTTTCACTAATATTTAATACATGGGCCAGGCACAGTGGCTCACTCCACTAATCCCAGCACTTTGGAAGGCTGAGACAGTAGGATCACTGGAGCCTAGGAGTTTGAGACCAGCCTGGGCAACACAGTGAGACCCCTGTCTCTATAGAAAAAAAAATTGTTTAATTAGCTGGGTACAGTGGCACGCACCTGTAATCCTAGCTACTTAGGGGGCTGAGGCAGGAGGATTGCTTGAGCCCAGGCGTTTGAGGTTACAGCAACCTATGACCACTCTACTGCACTCCAGCCTGGGTGAGAGAGAGAGACCTTGTCTCAAATAAATAAAATATATCTGTTGACTTGGTGTCCTCATTCAGTCCATATGTCAGATGGGCATGTGCCGTGTTAGTTCTCAAGGTGCCTTGCAGGAGGACCAGACTTTCCCAAATGCGGAGTGGTTGACCAGGGTTCTCTCATTACTCATTTGCTTTCAGTATATTTATGTTTGCCAAGGATGTGGACTTGTAGGGCACAGTATTTGACTTTACCGAAACTAAGCTAACTACCCCTCACAGGAAGGACAAGTAGCTTTAAAAGTTTCCCAGCAGAGAAACCACAGATTAACAGTTGTGCTAGTAATGCAAGAGCAAATGACCAAGAAAATAAATCACACATCTCCCACTCCTGGAATGAAGTCTTTGTCAGCTCGTTGAGCTGTTAACACAAAACCCACTCTAGGGATGGGTACCCCATTTTGCAAGATGTGATTATTACACATCGTATGTATCAAAACATCCCACGTATCAAAACATCCCATGTACCCCATAAATATCTACACCTACTATGTGCCCACAAAAATTAAAATTATCAATTAAAAATAATAAAAATAAATTTAAAATAAAACCTATAAAACCCACTTTAACGAAAAGCTGATATCCAGAAGCGTATCTGAGCTAGAGAGGGGCATCCCTGCTCATCAGTGATGAATCTTCCCCTGTAGTTACGTTGTGCCGTTAGTCTATTATCTAATGATAATAGGGCATGCATATAAGCATATGTTTTGTTTTAACGGTAGGAGTTGTGTGATCAAAAACTCTTAGAGGTCAGGTGTGGTGGCTCATGCCTGTAATCTCAGCAGTTTGGGAGGCCGAGGAGGGCGGATCACCTGAGGTCAGGAGTTCGAGACCAGCCTGGCCAAAATGGTGAAACCCCATCTCTACTAAAAATATAAAAATAAGCTGGGCGCAGCGGCGGTCACCTGTAATCCCAGCTACTGGGGAGGCTGAGGCAGGAGAATCACTTGAACCTGGGAGGCAGAGGTTGCAGCGAGCTGAGATTGTGCCATTGCAGCTGGGAGACAAGAGCGAAGCTCCATCTCAAAACAAACAAACAAACAAAAAAAACAAAAAAAAAAACACCTCTTAGAGACCTCATCCAGGAGCCAGAGAACCACATTCCAACTCCATGGTCTGGTATTCAAGGCTTCTTACAGGATTTCTTCTTGAAGGCAGACCTGCACTGGGGTCTACCATAGGGGAGTTGTGAAGATCAAATGGAGCCTGCTCAGCACCGTGCCTGGTACATAGTGCACAAAATTGCCACCTATGTTATTATTTACCAACTGTGTGACTGTGGACAAGGTACTGTCCCTCTCTGGGCGGCATCCTCCACCTCTGGGCATTTGCCCAGCTGATTTCTAAGGTGTCACCATGCCCTGACATTTCAGGTGTCCTCTGTGGGTCGCTCTGTCTAGGAGGAGCCCACTTCAGCTCCTAACATTTTCAGAGCACTGTATGCTGGCAGAGCCTACCGCGATGAAGCTGCAGTCGAAGTTGAGGCACTGGCCGCAGCCCTTGGCCACCATGACGCTGGCGCCGAGGTGACGGTGCGCGCCGGCCGCCAGCGCGAAGAGCAGCACGTGGAGGCCTGCATAGGCGGCCAGGCAGAACAGCTGACTGCGGTGGTTGTGCCAGTAGGCGCGGGTCAGCTGGCGCGGCCGGTGCGGGCGTGGGCGGGGGGCGGGGGCCATCAGCCAGCTGGCAGCGCTGTGAGAGAGAGGCGGGCTCCGCTCAGAGGGGAGCGGTGGGGCGGGGAACACCCATGTCTAAACTTAAAGACCCCCTCCAGCTGTGGCCGACCAAGTCTGGCAAGCAGGCCGGCTTTCTTCACACCAGGAATCAGAGAGGTCAAGTGGCTTGGTCACAGTCGCACAGCTCCGTGGAGTTGAAAGGGGACTCCGGTCTGCCTAATGCCACAACCGTGGTTATTTTTATTACTTCTCTTTACTTTCCAATTTTAAAAGAGGCAATCGAAAAGGATGGAAGAATCTGAGATATGTTTTGGTAAGTAAGCCCTAAGAAAGTTAACACGCAGGTGCCCAGTGCGGGGGCTCACGTCTGTAATCCCAACACTTTGGGAACCCAAGGCGGGCGGATCACCTGAGGTCAGGAGTTCGAGACCAGCCTGGCCAACATGGCGAAACCCCGTCTCTACTAAAAATATAAAAACTAGCCGGGCGTGGTGGCTGGCGCCTGTAATCCCAGCTACTCGGGAGGCTGAGGCAGGAGAATCGCTTGAACCCGGGAGGCGGAGGTTGCAGTGAGCTGAGATCATGCCACTGCACTCCAGCCTGGGCAACAGAGTGAGACTCAGTCTTAGGGGAAAAAAAAAAAAAGAAGTTAATACACAGGAAGAATGAACTACAAAACCGGCTCTATTCAGAGCCTGGATTCGGACAGACGGGTCTTGTTGTTACACTCTTATTTTCTCCACAGCACTTATTAATTTCGTGCTTCTCTAGTTTATGTGTTTGTTTATTGGTGTGAATGACCTGTCTCTCCGCCTGGAACAGAGTCCCAGCAGGGTGCAGACCTCATTCACTGCGTTATTCAGAACAGTGCCGGGGGCATAGAAGTTGCTTAAACATTTGTTGCATAAATAACTACCTTTGTTATTTGTGTGATCCTAGGCAACTTACTTCAGGCGAAGTAACTTCCTTTTTAAAATGAGTATTGCTATAAAATGCACTGGTATATGCAAAAGTGGTCAGCACACAGTAGGTGCCTCATACCGTGAGTTGATTCTGCAGACACTACAGGAAGTGGAAGCAATGAAGATAGCTGCCCTGCAGGACACTCAAGAGTGGGTTGAACTGGGGAGTGGAGGGGCGGGGCGGGGCGGGGCGGAACCGCGGTGAGTTCCTGCCACACTTCCGACCAGGAGTCTAACGCTGCCGCGGACAGTGTCAATCCCCGAGACCCGGCCGTACCTGATGGTCAGGTTCTCCATGACACCGGGGAAGCGCTGCAGCTCGTCCCGGAGCTCCTCGAAGGTGATGGCCCCATTGCCGTCCCTGTCGGCCGATTCGAAGAGCGCCAGCGTCAGCTGGTCCAGCTTCTCGTCGGGCAGCGAGATGGCGCTCTCGTGCAGGCACGACTGCAGCACAGTACGCAGCTCATCCGGGTCAATGGAGCCACTGCCTGTCCCGAGTGGGGATGAAGCCGCGTGGGAGCCTGCCCCAGCACCCGACTCTGTACCTGCAGACGCCCCCTGCCATGCACACACTGCAAGAAGTGGTGGGCCTCTTCTGTTTACCCACCTCCAGCTTTCTGCCCATCAGCTCTCCTTGAGGGTATAGACCATGCAACTGAAGGACCAAATGCCACCTTCAGCTCAGAAACCTTCCATGGTTCCCGACTGCCTAGCTCAAGAGCAATGGACGCCTCCCCACGGGTGGAGAATCTTTGGCTTCAGTGGATGCCTGTCTCCAGAATCTGTAGCTTCCGAAGTACTACTCAACTTCCAAGACCATCTGCCCAGAAAATACACCTGCTTACTTAATCTGTAAGGGGTTGTGTGCCCACAGCCTCAATTATCCAAAGGCACACTGTATGTGGGTTAGTGCTGAGGGAGTGTGCCTTGTTCAGCTTGGAGCAAATGCTCTGTTTATCATGTTGTCTTGAGAGGGGCCACAGCTAGGCATTCTAGTCCAGCGGTGTGGCCTTATGTAAACATGGGCGGTTGAAAGTGATGGGATAAGCAAGCCAAATCTACCAACAGAGATGCCATTTTTATTTTATTCTTCCTGAACAGCAGAGCCCGTGATTAATGATCTCTTGGCCTGCTTTGGATGTGGACACACCCAGTGTGGCATCCTGCTCCTGCCCCTCCTTAACTGTGCAATAGTGGACTCTAAGTCCTCTGTGGTAGTGGACCTCACTTTGCTCATCTCTAAAATGAGAGCAATCATTTCTCCCTCTCAGAACTGGTTCAAGCAAACTAGATGATGGTAAAACACCTAATGCAGTATCTGGAAGACGGAAATTGCATATACATGGAAATTCTCATTAGTGTTGTGACTTCAACCCAAGCCAAAGTCCGTAATCACATTACGATGCAAAATCTATTAGAGTATATGATACCACTCTCCAGTCACACCTCCTGTTCTGCTTTCCTAGTGAAGAGCCACGATGGCAGCAGGTTTCTGGACTCATCCAGAGGACCAGTCTCCCCCTGGCCCCTTCATGGCCTCTTCTATCTGCTTGAATCTCTCTGTTGGCCAATTTCAAATCCAGGGTCCTCCTTCACAATAATTCTCAAGTACACATTCTCCTTCCTTCTCCCTCTAACCTTTCATTCTACTGACTCTAAGAATATCCCATCCCTGGGTGAAACAGAAGCCAGCTACCTGTTTCCTGCCCTCCTGCATCAGGGCAGCAAAGTGAACATTGCTGAAGAAAAGCTTTTCAGAAGGCAGGTCCATCCCTGTGAATCCCTTGCTCAACACTCTTTGATGGCTCCCCATTGTGCATAAGTTAACTAATTTAACCTTCCTCTCAACCCCATGAGTATGAAATATTATTATCATAATTCCTATTTGATAAATAAATTGAGGTACAGAGAAGTTAAGCAATTTGTCTAAGATCATATAATAAGTGATGGAACTGAGATTTGAACTTAGGTAGCTCGTACTTAGAGTCTTAAATACTACACGATGATGCATTATACATATAGTGGAGTATAATGCAGCCACTAAAAATGACACTATAAGTACAGTGAGTTACCACTTCACACCCATTAGGATGGCTATTATCAAAAAGCAGAATAGAAGGCCAAGCACAGTGGCTCATGCCTGTAATCTCAGCACTTTGGGAGGCCAAGGCGGGTGGACCACTTGAGGCCAGGAGATCGAGACCAGCCTGGCCAACATGGTGAAACCCTATTTCTACAAAAAATACAAAAATTAGTGGGCATGGTGGCAGGCACCTGTAGTCCCAGCTACTCAGGAGACTGAGGCTGGAGAATCACTTGAACCTGGGAGGTGGAAGCTGCAATGAGCTGAAATCATGCCATTGCTCTCCAGCCTGGGCGACAGAGCGAGACTCCATCTCAGGAAAAAAAAAACAAAATGCAGAAAATAAGTGTTAGCAAGAATGTGGAGAACTTGGACCACCTGTACATTACTGGTAGGAATGTAAAATAATGCAGCCACTGTGGAAAACAGTAAGGCAGTTCCTTAAAAACTTAAAAATAGAATTACCATGTCATCAAGCAATTCCCCTTGAAGAATTGAAAGCAGAGACTCAAAGAGATATTTGTGCACCAATGTTCATAGCAGCATTAATCACGATAGTTAACAGGTAGAAACAGCCCAAATGTCCACTAATTAGTGAATGGATAAACAAAATATGGCATATACCTACAATGGAATATTATTCAGCCTTAAAAAGGAATAAAATTCTGTCACATGCTATGACATGGATGAAGCTTGAAGATACTATACTAAGTGACATAAGCCAGATACAAAATGACAAATATTGTATAATCCCACTTAGATGAGGTGCCTAGAGAAGTCAGATTCTTGGAGACAGAATGTATGAATAGAATGGTGGTTGCCAGGGACTAGGGGAGGAGGAATGGGGAATCAGTATTCAGTGGGCACAGAGTTTCAATGGAAGGATGAAAAGGTTATGGAGATGGAGGGTGGTGATGGTTGTACAGGAATGTGAATGTATTTAATGCCACTGACCTGTACACTTAAAAATGGTTAAGATGGCAAATTTTACATTATGTATATTTTACCACGATAAAAAATGATACTGTAAAGCAATATATTTTTACATTTCAAAATGTTCATTTTTGTAAGTGAAAAAAGGCAGTATGTATAGTATAATCCCATTTTGTTAAAAAAAAAGGTGTGTGGGGTGTGTATGTGCAACCAGTTAGAAGGCAATATAGCAAAATGTTAGGGGTGATTTTTGTGTTCTTTCTTATACCACTCTGTATTGTCTCCAATGTTCATAGTGAGCTTATACTGCGATGAAAAGGAAAAAACAACAGATTTTTTTTTTTTTTCAAACATAGAAAAGAACAAAAGAAGGTTCTGGCCTCTGATAAGTTGAATAGAAGGCATTTGTCTCCTGTGCCAGAGCCCCCCTTTTCTCCCCACTGCCCCAGAAAGGGAGGCAGGGATCAGACAGAGAGACTGGGGACTGGGGGAGAGATGAGAGGGAATGAAGTGTCAGCCTCACCTGGAGAAACCAGTCCCAGGCTGGGCTCAGGAGGCCGGGATGGCACCTCCAGGCCTGCCAAGGTGAAATGGCCAGTTCTCACTGAGGCCCCCACTGCTCTCCCCACCGCAGCCCACACCCAGGAAGAGCCCTTACCATCGATGTCATACACCTGGAAGAGGAATTTGAGTTTGTCCATGGGGCTGCCGTGGATGAGCAGGGCCAGTGCCTCCTGCAGCTCCTGGAGGGTGATGGTGCCACTTCTATCGGAGTCAAATAGGGCAAAGAATCGCTCTGCAAAGAAGGACTGTGGGCGAGAAGGGTGGAAGACAGCACAACTGTGGCCACAGGGCCTGGGCTTTGAATTCGTTCACTATCTCCCTGTGTCTGGGGTGGTGGTGGGGGGCTGCACCATGGGGTGGTGGTATTCAGGCAGGACTCAGATGCCTGAACACCCATTGTGATCCGCTCTAGTGGAAAACCTGTTCCGATCCCTGCAGTAAGGATGGGCTTGATTTGGGCTTCAGGCTCCCTTCAGGCACTGGGCTTTGTAATTTGTGTGGGCTCTTTGCCCCCTACATACAATCACCCCCACCAGCCTTTAAATCTCAGCCTCTGGGTGGCCCCTTAACCAACATGGGAAAGGGTCAGACAGAGGGTCCTCCTGCGGGCTCCTTCCAGCCCTGTCTCACCCCACTTGGGGTGAGTGCAAGGGATGAATGAATCTGGCAAAGACTTACAGATTTCACTGGAAGATCTGAGTCCCTTCTTTTGCTTGTTCTTAAGGCTGCCTACATTTTATACTAAGGCTTGTTCTTTTTTTTTTTTTTTTTTTTTTGAGACAGAGTCTCGCTCTGTCACCCAGGCTGGAGTGCAGTGGCGCGATCTTGGCTCACTGCAAGCTCCGCCTCCTGGGTTCACGCCATTCTCCTGCCTCAGCCTCCCAAGTAGCTGGGACTACAGGCGCCCGCCACCACGCCTGCCTAATTTTTTGTATTTTTTAGTAGAGACGGGGTTTCACCGTGTTAGCCAGGATGGTCTCGATCCCCTGACCTTGTGATCCGCCCACCTCGGCCTCCCAAAGTGCTGGGATTACAGGCATGAGCTACCACGCCCAGCCAAAGCTTGTTCTGAATCACCAGTTCCCTCATTCATTCACTGAGCAGTCTTGTGCTGTGTAGCCTCTGCCTGCCAGGCCTGGTGTTAGACCCTGGGAGCACAGAAATTAAGAAGACAGGCTTGGATGGGTGTCCCAAAGATGCTGTGTCCTGGGATGCTCCCCTGAAGGCAGGGGGAGGACCCTGTGGAGCTCTAGTGTCTGACTTAATAAAACCACGAGGGGCTCACAAGTATGAGGTATAGGCCGAAGGCTGCTGTGGACTGACAACCTTGCCTTGGCTTTCTTCTTCATCCCAGAATCCCTGGGTAGTACTTTTATCCGTCTCTACCATCCCGAATGCTCTTTGTCTTAAGATGTTTTACACCCTCCCATTTGGATGAGATTATCTCATTAGGCAGAATGGGATTTTTTCCTTTTTCATATTTGCTGTGGGAGGAGGCGTGGCGTTAAGAGTTCTGAGTAGTATCCCCAGGACCAGCAGGGGAGGGTCCTTCTGATTCAAGCAGGGCATTCAGATGCTCATTGGCTAGTCCCTGTCAAGGAACAGGCCACTATTCATGCTAGTCCCGAGGACAGCTGGGAGAGGCTGGCGTTTTAGGCTCAGTCCTCTCTTCTCTGCTGATGTCTCCTGTGTGTCAGGGCATGCAGGCTGTGTGGAGTGGGCAGGGTAGCTGTGGAGCCTGGAGGACTGGGAACAGTGTGCCATGGCAGACAGGGTTTTAATGGGTATAGACCATTGACAAGCTTATCTTGAGAGGAAGCTTAAGTCAGAGCATCCGCTCTGCCCATGCGCCTAGTGGAAATTGTGAGGTTAATCATAATGCTTAAGATTTGACAAGCTACTGACTTCCAACTTCATGTGTTGTTTGGAAGACCCAGGAGGCCATAGCTTCTAAGAGGAATGGGAGGGTGCCAGAAACATCCCACCAGCCCTGCTACAAGGTGGAGACCTCAGGAACCCCAGGGAGCTCCCTTTCCCTCCTTGTAAGGGCTATGCCCTGAGAACCAGAGCACATAACAATAAATGCAGGGCTTCCGCCTTGGTCCAACACTTGCCTCTTTCACATGCAGAGCTGATTTGAATTCTTGCAGACTGATCTCCCCATCTTCTCCCGCAATGGTCTTAAACTGCTGAGTCACCCACCGGAGCCACCTGGCATCCTCCTCGGCACTCATGGTGCTGGGAGGCAAAGGAAACAGGTTTATGGGCTTGGGGTGGCCAAAGCTTTATGAGGTCTCATGGTGGTCCCAGGGCCTCCACCTTGCTCTAACTAGGGCCCTGGGCCTCTCCGAGTTGAATTCGGTCAATCAGTTCTGGCTGTGGATTAGAGCTTCCCACAGCCGTTTCTCCTCCTCTCTAAGCCTCAGTCTCTTCCTCTTATCCTGAGTTGGCTGGCCCAGGCTTGCTTCTCTTTAGGTTCTGAAATGACAGGGCCTGAGTGAGGTGGACCCACACTGTGGGGATCAGGTCAGAGAGTGGCATGCTGCGACTGCATTAATTAACATCATGACAACAATGACTTTCCATCTTACGTTTACACAGATCTTTATGGCTTTCCAAATATTTCCCAACACCACTACTTCCTTTGGTCTCTCTGACAGCCTCGTGGGCTCAGACATTTTGCAGAGAAGAAATAGGCCCAGAGCAATTAAGTAACTTAGCTAAATGTATTCAGCAAGTTAGAGACAGAGATAGAATTCAAATCCAAGTCCAGTATTTTCTTCCATTCTGCCCCACCCAAAGCCTCCACCCTCTGCTTAAATGCTTGTAGTACAAGATGGACCAAGCCAGGATTCAGCCCTCAGGTCTTAACTCTTCAGGCCCAGGTTGTCTTCTATGATGTCACCAGGATATTGGCTGTCTAAAACCCTCACAGGTGGGCTGTCTGTACTGTGATCTGAACAGAGGTGAGTGATGAAATTAGGACACTTCCGTGGCATCAGGACCCAGGAAACCAAAATTGAGGCAGTGAGTGAGGAGTTACAGATTCTTGTTACTGTAAATGTCCGCCTAGGAGAATGGCCTTGTCTATAGCTCAGAAGTGTAACATAACCCTAAATGAGTTAGCTACAGTAATCCTCATTCTTTGTGGATTTTGTATTTGCAAACCTGCCTACTTCCTAAAATTCATGTGTAACCCCTGAATCAGTACTCACAGCCCATCTGTAGTCATCTGTGGACATGCACAGAGCAGTGGAAACTGAGTCACCCACTGGTTTACTCCCCACTGAGGCTGAGCGAGGCAACGATGCATGCTTTCTTGTTTCAGCTCTCAGACAGTAAGTGTCCTTTTCATGATCTATCTAGTACTACATTTTTCACACTTTTGTGTTTTTTGTTGGTGTTTTCACTGTTTAAAACAGCCCCCAACCATAATGTTGCGGTGCTGTCTAGTATTTCTAAGCGAGCAAAGACTGTACTGTACAGTATGGAGGAAGTACGTGTCAGGCACAAGTGACAGTGCTATTGGCCATGAGTTCAATGCCAACGAATCAACAATACATATTTTAAAGATGTCTTTAAATAGAAACACACATAGAACAAGGCGACTTATTTGACAAAAATATTGTGCCCTGAGGCTCACATGAACCTAACTCTATATTTCCTTCTAAGAACAGTGATTCCAAATTCACCAATTCGGTGTTTGAGGTGACTTTATAGAACATGAATGAGAATTGATTTTATTTTTAAAGATTAAATAAATGTTAAAAATAAATGTACCAGTTTTCATATAAGCAACTAGACAAAGAATAAAATACATATCACACAAATGTAAGTACATACTACTAAATATAAAGTCAGAAATTAATGTATTAGAAAATCAAAAAAAGTCAAAATAATACATTTATTTCAATTATGGAAATGGTTTTACAGATGTATGCCTATAATACTTCTCCCTTATCTGTGGGGGATACTTTTTAAGCCCCTTAGTGGATGCCTGAAACTGCAGATAGTAGCAAACCCTATACAGACTATGTGCATCCTATATAATACATACCTATGATAAAGTTTAATTTGTAAATTAGCTACAGTAAGAAATTAACAATAACTAATAAAATAGAACAGTTATAACCATGTACAATATACTGTAATACAAGTTATGTAAATGCGGTCTCTCTCTCTGAAAATATGTGATTTTACTGTACTCATCCTTCTTCTTCTTGAGATCTGTGGATCTGATAACAGAGAGAGCGACTAAGTGACTGAGGGGTGGGCAGTGTGTATAGCGTGGATTCACTGAACCAAGGCGGGACAGAGCAGAAAGGCTCGAGATTTCATCAGGCTACTCAGAATGGCTGCAATTTAAAACCTATGAACTGTTGATTCTAGAATTTTTCATGGGATATTTTTGACCTTGGTTGACCATGGGTAACAAACCATAGAAAGTGAAACCGTGTATAACAGGAGGCTATACTGCCCCTCAATACTCATCAAATTATTCTTTTCCTTTTTCTTTATTTTTTAAAAATCATGGTCTTATTTTTTATGCAAGGACAAATCATAGTAAATTAAAGGGAAATTTAAGAATATTTTAAAAGAAATAACAATTTTAGGTAGGCAAATCAGGAAGATAACCATCATACAAGCCAAGGCTATATGATTCTTCCACAAGCCCCAGGGTAAGACATTGATGCCATGGTTTGTCAAATATTCCTTGCCAGTACACATTGGGTAGCCACAGGTATTGTTTACTATTTCACTGAGTCCTGGGCAGAAGTTTTGTTCCAGAAATTCATTAGGCAGCAAAGCTGTAAAACCAGAATGCTGAAGTACTTAAACCATAACAGCCAAGATGCAGTGGTTGCGAGATTTACTAACAGACCTGAAAAAACCATCATAAACACAAAAGAGATGGTCATGAGAAGCATTGCTATGGAAACCACACTGACCTGCTGCTATGGCCAGTGCCAAACAAGTCACCATCATGAGGGTAAACATTATGATGAAGAAGGTGTCCACCTTTGTATTTAATCCTAACAAGATTAGGATTATTATACAGTATTATTTTTATAATGCAGGTATCATTATACAGGTAAATATAATACTTGATAACATCTTGCTGGGTAGTAAATTAGATAACAGTTTTCCAAAGAAATAAGATGACACTCTGTAGTATCCACTAAGATATTTGTGTATAAAGAGCTTCTCTAGCACAAAGAGAGCTCTATGACCGATATGCTGCTGAAACACTGGCTGGTGGTCAAGAAGAGAACCCTGGCTCTATTCGGGATTTCAGTAGAATCATTTTTTAGCCCAAAGTAAACGGCACCTATAACCAGCCTGAGTATGGTTGTGACAATTACCTGAGCTATGGAGGCCGCGGATTTACCCAGCAAGTTTTTGAATAAATGTATGAAAACACATCTGAGAGAAGGAGGTGGCATAGGTGACCTTGAAAGCTGAGATCTTCTTCTTTTTCTTACCCTCTGAGAGTTGATCTAATTCAGCTTTTGTTTCTCTGTTGAAGGAGGAGTTGACATAAAACTCAGCTAATTTTTCTGTGAGTGGTTTATCTCTCTTAGCAGTCTCCATCGTCTCCGTGGCTTCACGGTCTTCTTCCTCTCTGTTTAATACCTCAGCAGTGAATCTCTATTAATGACACCCAGGAAGAAACCTGCAGGGTTATTATTGTACTCATAGTGGTAACCAGTTGACGCAAAGTACCCCAAGGCCTCCTAAGCAGGCCCATGGAACATTCCTCTTCCTGAGGCCAATAAGGTGAGGCTATCAAACAACTTGAAGATGGAATATCGAGGCTGATGAATGGGGAGAAGATGATTGTTCATCCCTGCTTAGACATCCTTTTCGGGAACAAAAAGGTCAGCATTTGCTGTGCTTGAGTCCAATCCAGTTGTGGGCTCATCCAAGAACAAGATGAGAGGATCAGTAATAGGCTCCATTCCTATACTAGTCCTTTTTTCTTTTTCCTTCTGACACACTGCAGATAAATTGAATTCTAACCTTGAAATCTACTGCTTTATCCAGACCTAACTCTTGAATGACCATATTTATCTATTCATTTCTTTCACGATTCATCACAGTTGTTGGAAGCTGAAGAGCTTCCGAGAACTGTAAATGTTCTCTCACCGTTGGGGTGCTCATCATGACATCATCTTGTAACATGTAACCTGAATTACATTTGAATTTGGTAGGTTGAGGTGCTGTGTTCATCAGAATGTCTCCAGATAATACACGTGGGTCTTTCCTTGAAACTAAGACATCTAATAATGCCTCCACCTGTGGGTCCTAGAATGGCACTGAGGCCAGGTTTCACGATCCCATTGGTATTCAATTGTATTTGTTTCTCAACTGGTTTTTGACCATATAGAAAGCTGCTCTTCACTTTTTCTCGAAAACAGATGTTATGAAAACACAGCTCTTTCAGTAAATGCTTTCAGGTCTTTGGAGGTCATCTTGGGTAAGCCACTGGTGTTTCTTTGTGACATTGGGATAAAAACTTCGACATTACTGGAAGACATCTGGAGAGTTTCTGCCTTTCTTTCCAGACACACACTCTCAGCGCAAATGGCTTTCACTATTTACTCACTCTGCTTAATAGCGCTTGGGTTTATTTGAAGTTTTCAGTCTCAGGATCCATGTGCTCAGAGGCAGAACATTGACCATCATTTATATAAATATTGAGATGAGTCAGCTGGACCTTCCAAACAAACCCTAAAGAAGCAGCTTCCACTTAATAATGCCACCAAGCATGTGCACTGTGCTTTCTAAATCATGAAGAGCTTTCTCGAATTCTCCCAGACTCCTTTTCAGTCTGCCTCCTTTCATGTCAAAGTATCCATTTTAAATATGCAGATTATGGTACATCAATTATGCCTCAATATAGTGAAAAACAAGTTGGTTCTTTGAAAAAACTAAGAAGAAAAGCATGATTAAGGATAAAAAAGAACAAAATCTCCAAATATACATTAATATTGAGAAAGGCAATAGAACTACAGATAAGGAAAGGGCTACTGAACTATAAGAATACTGTGTGCAAATGTTTGGTGGATTTAGAGAAATGGATTAGCTCCCAAAGAAGGTAACAATCTGAACGGACCAATAATTATTTAAGAATTCAAAATGGCAGTTAGGCCAGGTGCGGTGGCTCACACCTGTAATCCCAGCACTTTAGGAGGCCGGGGCAGGCAGATCACGAGGTCAAGAGATCGAGACCATCC